CCTGATTATACATTATTAGATTGTGAAATATTATGGAACATTTGAATAAATATAAGTTATGACATAGATAGAAAAGATGTACATAATTTTTAAAACTTTACTTGCAAGCCTTTCAAACAAACTGTGCTTTAGTGTGTCCTTGTAATAATTATATTAAAGTGTAGATATGTTCCACTTGCTATGAAAATATTAGTTATAAATAAAACATTCACTCTGTGGAAGAATAATTACCTGCATATACATCCCTAAAACTATAATAGTGGGCAAATGGAAGAACATTGAACAGATACAATTGGAGGTAGCATTTTTGACGTGGTACAACAAATTTGTATAGAAAATCAATTCGTCTTATATTTCTTATAATTTCTTAGGAACATTCCAAATAAGAAAAAAATGTCGAATGCTATGACTATATGAGGTAGGTAGTAAGTAAGAATGAAATGATATAGAACCAAAGCATTAATTTTAAAAATTTTTAAAGCACATGTTCAGATAAGTATTTTGATTTATTTCTTATTATGTACATTTTATGTACAGCAAAACTAACTATAACAAATTCCTTTTACTTACAGTTAATAGCATCCGCCTATCCACGCGTATTAGTTAATATTCAATAAATTCATTCATTAAAAAATATTAATTTTGTAATATTTTCTAACAGTTAGTATTTCACAAAATCGTACAAAACCAATCTGTTTTTTATAAATTTATCTTCTGCTGCTGTTTTATTCCATTGGTTTTTAAACAGGTCATACTGATAAATGTGAACATACAACCAAGTTCAGCAGCTGCCCAGTGACCACCTAGACAAGAGTTCAAATGCAGTTTAAAAACAAAATTATAAATTGACTGGACAAAAAAATAATTTCAAATTAATATCGTGGAGAACTATTAGCCCTAAAAAATGTTCCCGTAACTTTAATTATCTTTTACAAATGTTCACCATTTTCAGTAACACATGAGAAAAAGGGAAAATTGTTACAGTAATGGCAGATTTTCCCTATTCTGCAAATTGGGACTTTATTCTTATTTGCTCCTATTTGAAGAATATTAAATTCTAAGAGAAATTAATAATTTGTGGAATAATGATGTGTGAATAATTTTTGTATTTTTACAAACACAAAGAAAGAAAACACTTGAAAAAGAACCACTTTCTGATAAAACAAGCAACTTCTGAAGTTAGAGAGGGATATTTCCATTTATGTAAATGTAATTACTCCTGTTATTACGTCTGTAAACAAGTGTCATCTATATGCAAGTATTGCATAAATTTCATTTAAATTTAATAAAATATTTTAAAAACAAACAATAAGTAAGACATAAAATTAAATTAAATAATATGTACATGTACAGGGTGATTCAGAACTTATCCAAAAAAAAATTCTGGATGTACAGGGGACCCTCACAAATATAATTTTGTAAAGAAAAAATCCAAAAGGGCAGGTCGAAAATGATTTAAAAATACACTTTTTCAGTCGATGACCAGCACGGTGGCAACGTATAATAAGAAATGAACGGATAAACAATTGAAAGAATTTCTTTCCCAAGGAAAGAAGTAAATAAAATTTTATATCACCTATTCTATATGCAAATTCCACTGCTTTTACCGCTATTGTTNTTAATAAAATTAATTTGTGTTTTTAAATAATAAAATCATTTGACATACCCGATGTTACAACAATTGTTCAAAATTTTATCCACCTAAACACATTTGGGTCCATCTTACTCAGTTTCTACGAACTAACACAAATGTCTTGCTTCACCATAACACAAATACTTCACCATAAATTAAAACGCTATCCATCAACTCCCGAGTTGCTATACACGCAAACCATTTTTGACTAACTACTAAAAAATTATTGTAAACACCACAGATAACAGGTAATTACTATCGCAACGATGATTGCAAAATCCGATTTCAGTATTCGGAGTTGCTGAGGCCACGTGGCTCTCCAAGCGCATTGCGAATGACGCTAGAGTCTAGTTGTCCAGCTATGTAGTGGTTGAATGTTGTATAAATTCAATAATTTTTTTCTCGTAAACTATAAGGATTTTACAAAAAATTTTTTTAGGATATTGACTCCATTTCTCATGCCGCATCTATTCCCAAATTTTTTTGGATAAGTTGCGAATCACTGTATAAGCACTACATCATAAAATTATAAGACATACAGCTTTCAATTGAGAAATACTACAACAGAATATATCGCACATATCAGAGACCCTGTTGGCATTGCTACACATCACATTAATTGGCGCGTTTAATAATAAATTTGTTTTAGCTCTTTTGCTAAAAAAGTGTCATGATATCTGGAGGAAATTCTAGGAAATAAAATATTTACGTAGGGCAACAACTGAGGGCAGTCAATTTTACAGTGTAAAAGTTTGTGCAAGAATAAAACAGAGGCTAAATTCCAACGTTTCACCAAGGAAACGAAATTAAATGTGAGCAACAATTCTGGATAATTGCACCTTCTGGAGGGATATATTCCGTTTATTTTAAAACTTAAAAATTTCAAAAATGACTTGAATTATTTCAATAATTATTAGAGAATAGTGAATATAAATAGGATTCCATATCATGCTTGCATACTCCAAGTTAGTTCGGACTAGAATAAAATATAAACATTTAAGAGCTAATATATCTTGAAAATTTCTACAATTTCTGATAATAAATCCAAGAGTATGAAATGCTGAATTGACAATCGTGTTGATGTGACTATTAAAAGTAAAAGTAAGCCCAGTGTCAAAATAAACCCCTAAGCCTTTAACAGTTTGGCACCGTTCAAGAACTGTGCCATCAATGCTATAATAAAGCTATTTTACATAAAATTAAGTTTAACATGAATCAAACAAATCTTGAAGATAAACATTTTGATAAAAGATCAAATCAAACCAATCACAAAAATCTACAGAATAGGCAGCAGATTAAAATTTTGTAAAATTAAAATTTTAAGGATGAGGAGGTTCCCAAGTATCTCCAGCGTTTCTATTTTAACATTCGTCACAAGGGATGAGGCGGAGATGATCGCTTCTCCATTCTTATTTTTTGCTTCGGGTTGATGTTTGTTTGACCTAAGACGTACTTTGGACACTTGCATTTTAGTGAAGTTTGTATTATTTAAATGTTTGTGTAACGGGTTTTCAACTGAACCCTGTATATCACTTTTACCGTAGTGGCTGAAAATCATCGTCTTTGCACTGGTTAAAAGTACTTGAGTTCGATAATGTATGGCCTCCTTAGAGAGCAGATCCATTAGGCTTTAGACGTTTTGTAGGAACTGGCAGCATGAGAACTGAGAATGAATTGCAGCATGAAAGCTATGTATGAGAACTCGATTCTCGGCGGATACGGCCATCTCTAGGGGGTTGAGGATCTGTGTTAATACTGACCCTAAGGTTATTTAGTGCGAACTTGATTTATTAATTTTCACCATCTTTTGGAAAGTGGGGTGAAAAATTTTGACGTCTCTTGCACTCATCAGCGACTTCGAGGAAAGAGTGGCACATGTTGACGTTGTCCGAGGATACACAGAACTCTTGACGATCTTCTCATCGGGATATTCGCGCACTTGTCTGCATCGCCATGAATTTCTGAGACAATTCTGGCGGTAATTATGAGGTCTGTGGAAAGATCGGTGAAAATTTGAGTGCGAACTGTCTATCTGAGCAGAACTGCCCTATATCGTTTAGGTTTCTATTTTTGCGGCAGGAACTGCGCTATATGAACTTCTTGTAAAATTACTGAGGCTATTCAAAGCATAGGTGAATTTAAGATAAAATATTACACTGGTTTAATAAATATTACAATATGACAAAAATACAATAAAAAATGTTCAGAAAGTGAGAAATTTCAGAAAAATAAGTGATAAAAGTTAAATATTGAAAATAAAAATGAATGCACATTGTTCCATTTATTATTTCAAGTTGCCATTTTGGGAAACATAAATAACTTCAAACAAATTTTCAGCAAATACTTATGTCAACCATATTTCTAAAATGAGCTTCTGATGGACTTAGATTTTGCCTTGTTTATTGAAAAGATACATCAGTAGGAAGTCTAAGACGAAAAATAATGTATTAATTAGAGGACGGTACAATTATATCATTATGTATGATCAGCATCTTATTTTGCATCACAGTAATCGGCAAGTTTGACAAACAATTTTGTGAAATCGTGTTAGCTCTAGGAAGACAATGTTAAAAGTTTGCAAATTTTCGATGGTTGGAAAAATGTAAAATATACTTACATTATTTACTTATTCCTCTTGCATGTGAAAGGGACATTTTTAGAAAAATGTTCATATAAAAATATCTATTTCCAAACACTGTAACCAATTTCTTCAACACTAAAAAATTGCCTGACCACTATATGGTCAGAATTTCTATATCTTTGCAATTTATTGTTTCACTTTTCTCCTATCACTTTGTACATATAAGAAAGGAGGGGTGCTATATATTTTAAATTTGCATCACCATCACCTAAGGACGATTTGTCATTTACTAGCTGCAGGAATAAGAAAAACTTAACATCGTGAAGCACGTATGAACTTAGATATTTATTTAAAAACTTACAAACTACTCACTTAAAAAAAATTGTTCAAATAATGCATTATTATTTCTATTGGAAATATTTTCAAAGGTGTTTTCTCTATAAGAGAATTAAAAGAAAAGAAACGAACCAAGAATAATTCAAATAAATTTATTTCACATCACTAAAATTATAAATAAAAAAAGTTTATCAAATTGTAAAGTTCATATACAGTGTACAGTAATTTTTAAAATGTTAAAAAAAATTACTTAACTATTTAAAAAATGAATACGTTTTATTAATTCAGCATAGTTTAAATAAATACAACTTCAATACTCAATAACCGTTTTATTTAGCAGAATTTAAAAATATTTTAAAATTTATTTAACAACGAAAGATATATAGTTAAGTGATTTAAAAATTTTAATATAAATTCAAAAATACCAAAATTTTATATTTTAAGTATATTACAAATAAAATGATAAACGAAATTAAAGAAAACAATTATTATAATTTTAGTTAAGGTTATTTGAAAAGTTCTGAATAAGTATAACATCTAATTTTATACATTAAATTAAAGAAAATGGGAATTTTAAATGTTAGTGGTTGTGTATTATTAGGAAAAATACAGTCATTTTATTTTGTATTAATTTTAATTACATTGACCTATGACAACTTTTTCGCCTTTTGATAAAGTGTATCTACTACTTTGCTCATACTTTGGATTGTTTCTAAAGCCATTTCGTACGTTTTATCTACTGGAGTATCTTCAAATACAATTAGGACCCCTGCAACAACGATAAATTATGATTTATTAATGCATAACTAAAATTATAAAATAAGTCTAATTAATTACATAGGTATTTGTATATTCGATATTGATTTTTTTTATTACATGAGAACATAAAAATCCAGGCAACATCAATCACTCTTTTTGCCAAAATACTTTAATAAACTAATACAAACGTATACTAAAGGTTATATTTTATTTTCAAATGTGGCCATAAATCAGCTTTTTCTGTGATCCCCTTATAAATGTTACAAAGATAAATTAAAGATTTAATAAAATGAGTACAGAAAATACTGATATTTTCCTCTATTCCAACAAAATAAATAGGTAATTCTGTTAAAATATAAAACCATTTCCACTATTCAGTGTGCAACTTATATAGGGTGTTTCAGGATTAAGTCGACAAATTATAAGATGTTCAGGTAAAAATAAGCAAAAATTTATATATAAACATAATGCCTTCTTATTCGAGATTGTGTTAAAAATTACAAGACCAGGATAAAGTGTTACATTCAAAATTGTTACCAAAAATTATCATTTTTTACAAGACTACTTCTGTATTATCTGTCGAATTAATTGGTCCGCCTACCCCAATTTACCCTCACTGGTAACTAGTAATACTTATTACCGAGACATATAGCAACAAACTATGTAATCATAAGTCACACCAAGTTTTACTTAAATATCTACATTTGCTTTCAAGATATTAAAAAATGTAATTATTTTTTCGTTTTTGGTCCTATGTCTAGATGTATTTTTTACTTATTTTTACCCAGAAGTACGTCCTTAAAATTTATCGACTTAATCCTGAAACAACCTGTATAAAATTGCGCAAATATTTCTAATGATATATTTGACATAGACTGATGAAACTTAAACTAGTAACTAATTAAGGCAATAATTCAGTGAATCTGTTACATTTTATTAAATCTTTGTTTAAACTAAACCAAACTTTCCGAAATGTTAAAAAGAAATCTACTGTAATTGTAAAACTACACGTTTCATAGAAAAAGTCTATAGGAATTTTTTGTTATAAATATATCATCAAAACTTAAAAAAATAATTGGCATACAAATTTTGAATATTAGTTGCCACAAAATAAAAATATAAATTTCTCCGCCAATCATTTTTAGATGATTGGTTACACTATATTCAAAATTGTATTTCTAACAAAATATTTTTGCATTTCTTGTAAAATGAGTAGTTTTCAAGTTACTGTTGGTTTATTCAACTGTGTGGTAAGTTTATTTTTAGATTTAAAAAAGTAATAACTAAAATAACTCATTTTCCAAGATGGAAAAAATACTTTTTTCTTAAAAAAACTATTAGGAAACTAATATGCCTATTAATTTCCAAAATACTAAGTGCATCGACATTTTGAGTCCCTCAAAAACAACATCTCCCAGTATATTCACATAATTCTATACAAATCAGTGAATTTTTACCTTTATTTTGTGTCAAGCACTAGCACAACGTTCAACAGTTTACATCAAATATCTTCAAATTATTTAACTATACTCCGCGGTCGAAATTATAGAGAGTGACTAAGACATAATATAAAAACACTATTACCATAATGCGTATAAAATATAAAATTATTTTTATACGGTTCAATATTATTTATCTTTGTGCCGCTTGCTACGCACATCGATAGAATCTATAATCGTCTAGAGACCGAGTTACACTGAACGTCGATCTATATTCTATCTCTGTCTTTTGCACTTGGTAGGGAATAGGGAAATGCTTTTTTAGTGAGTGTAAACGGACTTGATTTAACCCGTCCTGAGAAACATCATAGCATAAGCGTAGACGAGGGGTCTAATTCCATGGCTATAATAAATTTATAAATTAAAAAAACACAATTGGGACGTTTTAAAATGCTGTAATAATTAAAATGGATCAAAGTGCCTGTTATAGTATACCGTAAAAAAATATTAGATGTTATGTTTTATTATCTTTTTTCATTATTTTCTGTATCTTGTTGCCTTTTACGCAGACACGCCAATGGATTTTCGTTCCCGGCACGCTTCATCCCCCTTATTAATCCAAAAGCTAGCGATGAGTCACTCTCTATAATTTCGACCGCGGAGTATACATGTTATATTTTTCAAAAACTGTCTCGAAAACCAAGCTGTTTAGCACATAGACACACAGGAACTTAAGTTGCAACTTATGCAAATAAAGTAGTTCATATTACCAGATAAATTTTAAACTAGTTCGCAGCTTCTAGAGATTTAAATAAGCAAAAGAAGTGAAGTCTAACACTAATAAATATATTAAAATGAGATTAATTTTATCATTTAAAATTTGTTGAGTCACTTCAATTTAAATATAGCTAAAACGTCAGGTATGTGTATCTACTGCATTCTATAAATATATATTTCCAGATTTCACATTGTTTTTCATACACCTTTATCCTTTTTTATTAAAATGGAGCATTAAGCTCATTTTGAGAAAGAATCTCCACAATCTTTACACATACCTAAATTTAATATATTTATTTTATATCTATAGCAAGTTAGAAATGTAGATCAATTGACAAAAACTTTTAATTAATTGGTAAAATGTTCTAAAAGTAACAAACAAATGTTTACATTAAAAACAATTATTAAATATATTCAAGTTGTTTTTTTGGCACATTACAATGTGGAAAAATACCCAAAAAATACTTTCAAACAATAAAAATATGCTAATTTTCCTATGAGGAACATTCTATGTGAAACAAACTGTGTACTTACCTTCACCTTGATCCAAAATACCATGAAATTTAGCATCCAAGATCATCTGAGAGAGCTTTTTCTCTACTTGGGCCATAGGAAGTTTTATTGTTTTTGCTACATAATCTACTTGCACTCTGGAGTATGGTTCAATAATTCTACATAAATTTTGTTCAAGCATATTATCATACAACGTTCCTAAATGTGCCCTAACAATAACATCGTCTTCTAATTCATGTTTAAACTGCTTAACTGCTTGTTGAAAGTCAGCAAGAGATCTTTTGTGGGATGCTTGTGCGACTGCCTTCATTGCCTCTATGTCCTGACCAGCATACTTAATTGCTAACTTTCCACTTACAATTTGTTGTACGTCTTCAGGATTATTAAGCATAATTTTGGATAACAACATATATTTGAGTGCTGTAAGTGCCTTTGGAGATTCCACACTATCAAAACCTTCAAATGCTTCATAAAAATACGAATAGGCTGTTTTAAAATCTTTTTCGTCAGCTGCATGTAATATACCTGACTGGAGATCTAAGGCAGCTTGCATTTTTGGCGGACAATATATAGCATTGGCTGTGGTACGTGCCGAAGTAAGGGCAGCACGAGCTTTTGGCAAGTTGCTCAAGGCATGATATGTTTTGCTCTCGAGTAACTGAACTTCCACTAATAAATTTTTGTCATCCAATTTTTTTAGTTCTTTAAGTAACTTAGACCCTAAAAGTAAAGCCTCGGCGAACATACCAGTATCAAAATATAATGCTACTAATCGGGCTTCTAATGACTGGCGTAAAAATGTTCTTCGTTCTTCTTTAGCCCATTCTATACATTCTTTGCAGAGTTGAACTTCTATACCAATGCCAGCTTCTAAGTCCAGAAAATAGTCTACCAAAGATCTTACTAATTTTGCAGCTTTTGCTTTACTTATCATGCTTAAAAAAGGTCTGGTGGCTTTAATCAGTTCTGCAAGTTCTTTAGCTTTTCCCTCTTTTTTGTATCTCTCACCCAAATTAAGTATATCCTGTTCTTTATTTTTAATATTTTCTTCATCGTTGTCCTGGTCTTCATCGTTTCTCTTTAAATTTAACAAATTTTCGTGCTGTGAAGAAACAGACTGCGCTCTTTCAAACAACATTGCACCCGCCATATTGTTATATTACTATCTAGAAAAGCACTGTCATCACAAATGACACAGCAGCGATGATACACAAAAAATAAGTACTGCTAGAAGTCGGAACAGAAAAGTATGACGTAAAGGTTATTGTACTGCCGCGAACGTAGATAGAAGTCGTGTTCCACAATTACCAGATATTTTACTCATGCAATATAGGTACGATAAATATTCATTGTTTTAAGTTTAAATTTACTACTTGGAGTAATAGATATGTTAAAATTATTTTATGTCAAATTCGTTCTATTTTCGTGATTTTGTAGTTACGGTAATCACTGATTTTAAAATATATGCTTGAGAGTGGACAAACCAACAGTTCTAAAGCCGGTTACACATCGCCGCGCCATTATTCCATGGCTAGAAATTG